ACCGGCCAACAAGGGCCATCCCAGGTCCAGTGCGGCTGTGTCGCAGCATTGTACGGCGAGCAAAGCGCTTCGTGTTCTGGTCTGGCAAAAGAGCGGCGGCAAAATTATCCGCAGAACTGGACGGCACGACTTGGATGGCGGGCTCGGGGCACACACATTAAGCCGTGCTTAGCAGGCACTCTGAACCCGAGACCACTCATGCAATTCATTCGGAAGACATTTAAAAAAAGAAGAAGAAAAGCTATTAAAAATTTAAGTTACGGTTATGCAAGTAGCACCTCCCATGCCTGTGTGAAATGAGGTTCTCAGGATAGCTTCATATATATAGATATATATATATATATATATATATATATATATATATATATACATACATCTATAAATACGTATATATATATATATATATATATATATATATATAAATGCATATAATTCAAATTATTTGAAGCAATTCATAACGGTAATGATACAGGCATATTTGGTTCCGCATGTCTCGGCTGCAAGCACAATATAGCACCTTTCAAAACGTGCGGGAAATGGTAAAGCATGCCAAGGGGTGGGACGTGGGTGTGTCGGATAAACATGACATTTGGCCAAGTCTGAATCATACAAATGATCTATCCGCTGTTTTGGGATGCGCTGCGAAATTTGCGCTACATGCGCCAGTCTGGGAGTTGGAGCGAAACTTAGAACAGCTGGGGGCACGGATTTTCAGCGTTGGCCATCATCGAGTAAGGAGAGAGCGGAAAGTGAAGAAGGGGAAACAACTGCAATGTACCAAGCCAACTACTGGTACTACCGGCACTGGACGAACTATTACAAACTTTCTACCAGTCGGATGCTGAGACTACTACCTAGCAGTTCATGATGGTTCGACGCGCTGCCGGTAGATGGTGCGTCGTTGAAGATCGATGCAGGACCACAACGGTAGGATATAAGGTCCTATGCGACCTTTACGAACACACTTATATGAAGCCAAGAATCATATCGCCGGCACCACGTTTGGTGACCGCTCGTTTGTCAGTTACGCCCGTACAGCACTTACCAATCACAGCACGCAAGCCTTCTGCGCAGTTGCAAGGACGGGTCCACCCGGTCTGGAGCATTTGAACTGCACGCCATCTGTCGACATTCCTGTTCAACTACCACGCTAACGCTAGACGGCAATACCGGCGTCAAAATTACGGGAGTTCTTTCTTCAACAGGTCAGTTCTATTGTTGTTTCGGGGCGTTTATCAACCATCAATCTCAATGATCTGCATTGGTGTGGCGATCCAAAATGATCGTAACTCCTGGTCATGGCCATGGCTCACCCACATACGAATCAATCATTCCAGAAAAACGCAGCACGATTCTGCCGCCCCTCATCCTCGCCACAATTACGCAAAACGCGGGAGGAGCGTGGCCATATCCACATGAAAACAGGAGGAGCATTGCCATATCCACATGGAAGCACCGTATGTGCCAATCGACTTCTTCATAAAAACAAATTTTTGCGGATGCCGAGAGCCTCCCCGAGAGCCATCCTGAGAAGATCACTGTGCAGAGATCACACGGATCGCACGGATCACACGGGTCACACGAATCGCACAGATCACACGGATCACACGGATCGACCCGGTCGACGACAGTCGACCTGGCTGGATGACAGACGAAGCGCAAGATTGAGCTGCCACGAACCAGCGCTGGGCGGTGCATGAACCCCGTCGTCACTAGGGCGACATGCACAGGAATATTGCCGCCGCCTCGCTATGAGGCCAGGATGCTTCTGACTAATATGAAGCCATCAAAAGCTAGTACGTGCCTGCTAAGCTCTGCCGACCCCACCTTGTTTTGCGCGTATGCAGTGCGCCATACGTGCGTGCGCGGATCCAGGCCGCCGTCGCTGCCGCTGAACAAGAGAGAATGTGATTTGAAGATGCCCTATAATAAAACACCGTTGTAATGGTGGTGTTTGGAGATACATTTGCTTTGATGTTACAACCATGCAGTCTCATGCATCTACACCACACCATTTTTAGCATATGTAACTCAACTGCATGTGACAGTCATTGCTTTTGCATCAGAGCGATCGAGTAGTCCTCTAACACCAAATGTTCAACGTATTCACAATGCAAACGCATGCATCATTCGCCGGGACGTCTTTAGCTCGTGGAGATATATATTGGTGCATACAATCTCCAGATCTGGTGACCACGACGATCATATCATATTCCGTCCAATCTCCATCCTTCGTGCTACCTCCAAGGAGGTGAACGTGCTGGTGCAGCGTCAGCTTCACCAATACCATCTCATTCTCATCTCATCTCATCACGTATTCATTTCATTCTCATCCGCACTCGATTCCCGACACCTGCACTTCACCGAGACAGCTGTGCCCGACATGTCGGACGGGCCGCTCTCTACGGTGGATGAGGGAAATATTTATTGGCTTTGTCTAATTTGCTTGAGCAATTTTGTTGACGTTCACCAGTCATTTCAAGCTCCTTACAACTTGGCATCTTCAGTACATTAGCACTACTCGGTCTGAAAATTATCTTAGTCATATGCAAAGTGTTTGCCTCTCTGGCACTGGTATCTTTGCTCGCCGATCTAATAGCCAGGGAGGGCTCATCCCCTAAACTTCTGCTATTCCTTCTTTTTGTCAACAACCTTAGCCTACGGGCGGCCGGCTTTTTGCAGCTTAGCACCTCAACGGAACTCGGGCTCTCGTCGCTGGGGACAATCCGCCTTTACCGCAACAGATCGACGGCATGGACTCAAGCCCAGTGTCACTCAATGCTTATTTTGATTTGAAGACTTAAAGATGAAGGAAAGGCAGTTTAAACTTTCCTCTCTAGACAGCAAGCGAGATATGCGTACCCTTAGCCCCTTCACAGTGCAATCCCACGACAAATTTCTGGCCACCTGCGCCGAAGTAAAAAATAAAGGCATCGCGTTTGACTGTTATCTCTGCTGGGACTTGTACGTCCTTCGCTGTCCCGGGAGTGTACCGGTCTGCCGTCTGCCGTCTCCCGTCTCCGCGATTGCCGGCCTCGCTCGGGAGTGTGCCGGTCTGCCGTCTGCCGTCTCCCGTCTCCGCGATTGCCGGCCTCGCTCGGGAGTGTGCCGGTCTGCCGTCTGTCGTCTCCCGTCTCCGCGATTGCCGGCCTCGTTCGGGAGTGTGCCGGTCTGCCGTCTGTCGTCTCCCGTCTCCGCGATTGCCGGCCTCGCTCGGGAGTGTGCCGGTCTGCCGTCTGCCGTCTCCCGTCTCCGCGATTGCCGGCCTCGCTCGGGAGTGTGCCGGTCTGCCGTCTGCCGTCTCCCGTCTCCGCGATTGCCGGCCTCGCTCGGGAGTGTGCCGGTCTGCCGTCTGTCGTCTCCCGTCTCCGCGATTGCCGGCCTCGTTCGGGAGTGTGCCGGTCTGCCGTCTGCCGTCTCCCGTCTCCGCGATTGCCGGCCTCGCTCGGGAGTGTGCCGGTCCGCCGTCTGCCGTCTCCCGTCTCCGCGATGACCGGCCTCGCTCGGGAGTGTGCCGGTCTGCCGTCTGCCGTCTCCCGTCTCCGCGATTGCCGGCCTCGCTCGGGAGTGTGCCGGTCCGCCGTCCGCCGTCTGCCGTCTCCGCGATTACCGGCCTAGGGTCCTTGTCCAGCCTTGCTACCGCTCCGGTTTCCCGCACGTTCGTTGTCGTTCCCAGTGTACGGTACTGCGCATGGAAAATAATTATAGCTTATGGAAGACTTTGAGAGAGGTATGCAGCCAAAGCTACTCTTTTTTGTTGATGATTGAATACAAGTAGCACTATAGAGGCTGTGTAAATGGGGCCAAGTATCACTGACAAAACGAAAGCCATATCATTCTGCTGGTATTTATTGAAGCACATCTACCTCATATTTCACAAGCGTCTTGCGCATAGCCGCACCCATGCCTGTAATTTTCCCAAAATGTGCACCCAGTCCATTTCGTGTACGTGGTACGCCCCTTCCATGTGCGTACCCGCGGGTACGCCCAACCCGTTGAGTCCTCTGCAGCGCCCGGCTGGTAACGGCGGCGGGCCTAGTCCTCGCGGTCAGCCTCGCCGGGTGATGGGGTCAGAGCTGGGGCCGGGCGGCGCCGGAGAGGACTCCGGTCTTCCTCCGGCCCCTAGAGCCAGCGCCATGAAAGCCCACGCAGAGCTGGGGCCGGGCGGCGCCGGAGAGGCCTTCAGTCTTCCTCCCGCCCCGAGAGCCGGCGCGATGACAACCCACGCAGAGCTGGGGCCGGGCGGCGCCGGAGCGGACTCCGGTCCTCCTCCGGCCCATAGAACTAGCACCAGGAGGGTCCACGCAGAGCTGGGGCCGGGCGGCGCCGGAGAGGACTCCGGTCTTCCTCCGGCCCCGAGAGCCGGCGCCATGACAGCCCACGCAGAGTTGGGGTCTGGCGGCGCCGGAGCGGACTCCGGTCTTCCTCCGGCCCATAGAATTAGCGCCAGGAGGGTCCACGCAGGAGCGCTCGCACGCCACATGACGCATCAGATCACTGGGCGAACCATATAATCTGTAGAGCGCATTCTCAGGTACGTGAAAGCGATCACGGACCCCTGCTGCCTGTCGAATGACCGAGCACCTCCTGTAAGCATGACTCGTTCGAACCAATCGATCTGATGACATCAGGATTGTCATTGGCGCCACTTCCGTCTGGCGCGGTTAGGTCTGTCATCGGCGCTACTTCGGTCTGGCGCGGTCAGGTCTGTCATCGGCTTCGGTCTGGTGCGGTCAGGTCTGTCACCGGCGCCTGTCTGGTGCGGTCAGGTCTGTCATCGGTGTCGCTTCGGTCTGGTGCGGTCAGCACTGTCGTCGCCAGCTGGCTCCGTGCCCGGCAGGTCGGCGCCGGCGGACACGGAGCCATCCGTGTGCCGGGCTGGAACCGAGCCGGGACAGGCTGGGGTCCCCGGTGCGGGGTCCACGTTGTCCGCAGCGTCCGGCCCCACTTGGGCGTGTTGACCGCTCGCGGCCTGACTCCCTGCACGTGGGTCGTTGCAGGGACGCATGGCTGCGGTGCTGATGAGACGTGCCGCGACCGTGGGTCTGCTGGTCGCTGGCTTGCTGGTTCTTCTGCTGCTGCTCGCCACCAACCAGCGGACCAGCCACGCTCACAGGTTGGCAGGGGCACGGCCAAGCGCCAGCGCAGGGAGGACACTGGTCTATTGAGCAGGGGTATCTCCAGGGAGGGGGTAGAGAGGACGTATGCACACGTGCTGACCGTTTTCGCAGACTGGTCAGAGACCCGTGTTACCGCGACAAGCGGAAAAGTTCATGAGTATTTCTCGATAGACATGTCCTAAACGCTGACGGTGTGCAATGTTCCATCACAAATTTTCCGTAAAAAGGCGCGATTTGGATTTATGTGATCATCATTTTCAGCATGCCTCTGTAGATGCCTCTGTATATGTCTCTGTAGAAACGTTTGTTATGAGCCCGTTGCCAACAGGGGTGACAATGCTAAGGTAAGTCGGTGCGGCAGCCTGGTGCTGGCTTACTGGTATGGGTAACCATGCTAAGACGGGTCGATGCGGCAGCCTGTTGCTGGCAGGGGTAACATGCTAAGACGAGTCGATGCGGCAGCCTGTTGCTGGTATGGGTAACATGCTAAGACAAGTCGGTGCGACACCCTGCTGCTGGCAGAGGTAACGATGCTAAGACAAGTCGGTGCGGCAGAGCAGCTGAAGCGGGCATCTGTCACTTGAACAATACCAAGACGGCGTCTGGTTTGGGAAAATCTGACATGGCCGTTGCTACATCTGTTCTATTTTGCTGCTTAAGTTACTAGTCGATGAAAAAGATGGACTGGAATTACCCGAGTGGAAGACTGGCGGAAGTGGGAAAGGAACAATGTTAAACTTTTGCTCCCTTAGCACAGGCATTATTAGAATTTTCTCACTGGACTAATGCCAGTTAAGGCAACTAAGGCTTTGGCTGTGGTCACAGTTCACGTATTCGGAAGTGAATTTTCGGCAATTGTCCGCCACTCAAAAGCAATCACGATGCTTGTGTAGAAAATAGCGTACGAGAGGTAAAGCGTAATATTTTCATTGATTTTTATTATCGTTACGCCGCGTTTAGGCTGCATGATTGTAACTTTCACATGTCTTTCCTGCTCGACGTTTCTCATAGCTCATTTCACCCCACCACTCCCTTCACATTTCCTCCCTATCATTACCACTAACGGTGACCCATCATCGCCTCCACCATGTCCCCCATCATCGAATCGATCATCGACCCCATTACTGCCCCATCACTGACCTCCATCACTGACCCCATCATGCCCTCACCATGGCCCCGACCAACGGTTGATGCGGCCCCAGCGAGGCCTGCCAAGACAGCGCTACACTCCCTTCAGCGCATTGACGCGCTGATACTAACCGCGCTTTTCATACCGCACACCGCACACCGCACTTGTCAGCTGTCTGAGTCGCGCCTGCGGCGGGCCACCACAGCTGGCGCGTGTCCAGAACAGAAAGCGACGCGGATGCTGCGTGACTTATACCGCAACACCTCAGTGGCGCGGAACATGACACAGCACACCAAAGCACTGCGAAGCTACGGCCCCCCCCCCCCACAGCGACTGTGGCCGGGAGGCAGGGGGGGGGGGGGTCACAGCCCCAGCGTGAGGCCATACCAACGGGTGTCAGCCGGATGAACGGAACCCGCTTAACACGCGCCCGGGCAGTTGGTTGGATACCTTCCCATCGGGGGAGCTGGGGGGCAATCGGACCCGGCTGAGATCTTGGGAACTAAGAGAGCTAGAGACACCAAATCAATAGGGTGCTAATGGCCTGTACGTGGACTCCCTAAAGTCAAAGTTTGAGGTTCCTAGGTCATAACCTTCGGGTCGAATAAGGTGAAACAATGTCAAACTACAGGCTGGCCTCCAAAGTGCCCCCAGGACCTAGATAGCTGTTCAATGCAAATGGCCACATGCTTATTAAAAGTTGGTGACCTATTTTGACCCTTTGAAGGTCATGGTGACCAAAATCATACAAGATAGCTTTGAGTTTTGCATTTGAACAAGAGAGAAATAGTACGCTAAGCAGTATGTTCCTAAAATGTTGGCCTGGGTCATTTTAGGTCGGTGATCTATCTATTACGGTCTTGAAGTCCATGAAGGGTGTATTACGCGGTTCTTGTTTTCAATAGATTCAAAATGAGCACCAGGAAATACCCCATACAGGAAGTCTTAGGGTAATAAAACAGGTTGGTTTTGATCTTGGTCTGAGTTTCATACCTGACCCTAGGCGAATGGAATTTGTTCATTGAATTGTTGCGCTACCTAAGAAAGTATCTCAGAGATGTATGGCTTCGTGTAACACTCCGTTGTTGTATCACATTGAACAATTCCATAGAAATTGACTTCGCTGAATCCATGGCGGGACGTTGACCTGCCGTAGGTCAGCGACCTTACAAGGTGCACCTAAATTGTTGGTACTATACCATGCGTTATTTAATTGTCTTCAGTTGTGCACAATTTGGCGTGGCTACACCTGCGCCGTTCGTAAACCATTCCAGTTCAACCTTCGGGGGGGGGGGGGGAAGTCAATATGACCCCTATAACGTCAATATCATCCCTAGACGGGCGCGTGTTAATCGATTCCAGACGAGCTCTCGGCCAACCCCGGTCATAGGCGTGATAGAGGAGGGGAGGGGGAAAGAGAACCGACGCGTTCAAGTACGGCGAGAGCTACTTAGCCGATCATGAAAGCCAAATAGCGTTTGATTACCCCGGCAGTGGTGTACGTTTTCAAGAAGAAAATCTCGAGAATATTCAAGAGGAGGAGGGAAAAAGGGAAAGGGGCCAAAAACAAAAGCCGTTGTCAAAAAACCGCAAGGATAAGTTGGGCCCGACACAGCTGGTACGTTTATCAACCCAATTCTATGTAAGCACCGCAGATCGATGAATTTACCAATCGTAGGCCGTGGCAATATTTGAATCTTGCAGATTGAAGGGGGTGCACATGAGATGCAATAAGGGTTTGAGTGTATGTGAAGCACATGCAATGGCGCTCTGCTCTGTGATCGGAAAAAAGTGTGGTAGCAAAATGTTTGGGATAGACGGAGCCAAGTTCCCACTGAGTTCATGAAGGCGGGAGACCGAGAGAGTAGTATATATTATTGTAGGCCACAACGATGTTTTGCGCTGTTAATGAATCATGGCGTCTATACAACGTTTGTGGGCAAGTCCATAAGCGAGTCCAGTTTTTCAAAGGAGGGGATGGGGAGGGAAGACAGAAGCCTGAGACCGTCGCCGACAGCTGAATGCCCGCCGTTAGTGGTCACAGCATCCGGGTTCTGCAATCCCACCTGTCTTTTGCCGTTCCTGAACGCGCTTCTGATACACAGTTTTAGATGCTGCTTACTTTGCAGAAATTAGTGGTAAAATTTATTGCTCCGTTTTAGGCCTCAATATTCCAAATAATTTTAGTTCACTTGCTCTCATCCCCGCAGAAACATGTGCACACAGATGGTTCTTTCCTTCCCTACAATTTGATATGTGCACATGTATGTTCTCTACGTTATCCGCTTACACCACCGAAGTGCGAAGTTTTAAGGCTGCTTCCCTGCTCCGCCCTTTACAATGCCTGGAAACGCCGTTGTCAACGAAGGTGTCCATGATGTATGACTTTTGAGTAATGCGCGAATCTCTGCATTCAAATTCAGTAAAACAAGCTAATACATATACGTTAGTTAACCGTAATCGCTTAACACTCTTCGGTAACTGTTCTTTTCAAACCCTGTCACTGTCTTCGATGTTGCTTTTGATATATCGCAATAACGATACTCCTCTCGCAACTGTTCTGATCACCATGAGAACCGTTCGCTCCAGTAAGCGTAAATCACTACAGACAATCCGGAGGCATTACCTTGTACTATATGGTCCTACCGAACACTGAACCCTGGAGCTGCTCCTGGGCATATCCCGGAATGTTTGACACAATACGTAAACAAGCTGCTTATGGATAGTCAAAATATTTCAACATTCGGCCTCCAATCTGACAGGCAACGCTCGAGACTTGGTGTCAGTACCTACATCTGGTCATCAATCGCTTTCCGAGTCGGACTTATCGATATCATTCAATACAGCAGCGTAAGATCAACGCCGTTTATATTGAAAGCCATGTCTGTCTGTGTATCATACGCGCCATAAAGCCCTACCTTCTGTAGAGTGGTGTCCCATAAATACGGTGAACTCTGCTCTTGCAACTTTCAATCCCTGCTGTTTACTTCCTAAATTCCGAGTGTTTAAAATGAACGTAAATGGGATCAGCGTTTGGCCCAAGCGCAACCTGTCATTTCCGCAACATCTCCAGATTTCTCACATATGTAGTAGTGTTCACCCCCGGCACTGGGCCAGCCGGTGGCACCATGTTTGAACGCGCCTTATAACTGACGACGTGGCCAGCAGCCGTCCGCGCTAAATGGTAACCACCCTCGGTCCGATCACACGCCAACACCCTGAGGTGCCCGTGCTCACAGACAGCTCCGTTCACAGTCCATGGTGGCGTTCCCCATTCGCTGCTCAATTAGATCAACTCCCGTCACTGGCAGGCGGCTCAATGGTCTTCCCGGTTATTGAACGATGACCCTGCTGACCAAAGATGATCTCCATGCGGCAGATATGAAAAAACAAGGCCAACGACACAAACAAGCTGATAAGACCGCTTGGCATATCACAGTGCCCTAAACTCCAACCCGAAGCTTAAGCCAGTGGGTAACTGTAAGCATGACTTGATTTTACGGAGATGCCCCATAGCATATCCGGTATTGAGTTCCTGATGTTTCAGACAGAGGTTCCTGCAAAGTTTGAGGACTCTTTCTTGCACGTTATCATAGCATTGCATCTCAGTGTAATTTTAATGCAGACCCAAAATCGTGTGCCAAAGTGGAGGATCTGGAAGCGTTTCTGACATGATCTGTCAGATGCCATCCTACAGCCCGTATGCGTCGCGACGGGCTAGCAGTTCTGAATAGCAATGCATTTTGATGAAGCCGGCAATCTAGCAGGAGGTCATGGTTGCAGTTCCAATTGTTTCATCATTTGGTGCGCCCGAGAACTGATGCACACCTGAGATATCATATATGAGGTGGGAGTGTCGGTTTAATTATTCAGAAGGCGTACTAGATGAGCGTGGTCTTGCGCTTGTGAACGGGGTGCCTTGAAACTGTCGTGGCGCATGTGTGGGTATGGCGCACCTAAGCTGGAGTCTTTCTTTCCTTTGGAAGGTCAAGGTGACCAAAAAGTACGAGATTGCTTTCATTTGGTCATTTTTATAAGCGTGATGGCTTATGCAAGGTGATATGTCCATCAAAAGGCAAAATGTTCGCTTAGATCATTTCAGGTCAGTAACCTACTCTGACCTTCATGAATTTCATGGGATATATTTGTTGCAGTCACTGGTACCAATCCATTCGAAATGACACCTGAAACTACCCCATAATACAAGCTCTGGAATAAAACAGTTTGGATTTGACCTCGGTCTGACCTTCATACCTAACCCTTGGTCAATGCAACTGGTCGTGATTCTAAATTCAATGTTTTTATTGCCTACGAATAATCTGAGAGACGTCTCAAAAATCTTCTTCTAGCTCTTAATTGCTGCATCATATTGAACCATTCCTAGACATGGCTTTCTATGACATCTATGGCCCGACTTTGACCTATTATTGATCAGCGACCATAAAAGGTGCATTTAATTCTTTATACGAAAATGTGTGCTATTCAGTTGCCCTAGAACGAGACAGAGTTTAGCGTGGCTACGCTGCGCCGTTCAGAAATTATTCTGAAAAATCTTCGAGGGTGTCAAATTGACCCGCTACCCGGACGTAAGACCTCAAGGCAACACAAAGTCAGAAGAATTCCGATCAATCTCCGTCTCTGTCTCCAGCATCAAACGCGTCTTGCAACCCAACTGACGTTTAATGCGCTGGATTGAATGGACCTGTAGGCTACGCTGAGCCGATCCAGTCCGTTTCACTCACATCGGCAAGCTGTGGCACAAACGTATGAACAATCACTATCTTGCAGGCCTGAAAAGTGCACTCGTGCGGACTGTGGCCACCAATAGCGAGCCATAACAAAACTGACAGACCCGTTTTAGATTTCCACGCGCTCCCGTGGCATTGATCTTGTCATACCACATGATGGCGGCAGTTACGTGTGTTAAAGATAAATGGGCATGTCTCTTTTTGGTGTTTCATACAATTTTTTATCACGGTGAATACATCTCGGAAAACGAGACGGTAAAGGCAAAAGATGAGTCATGGGATAATCTTTTAATCCTACGGATCTTGGTGTAAGTCGCTTTTGGTGAGGCGGACATTGCTTACTCGAACCGAAGAAATTGTTGGTGCTAAGAAAATATTATCTCGGTTTACTTGTACTTCTTCAATTTCTTTGATAGATGTGCTGTCTGTGCCGTTAGCCCAGTCGATTAGAGCACCCAACTCCAGACTTCCCCACCTGTGGCGGGTGGGTTCGAGTCCCTTTAGGCTCTCGCTGCTTACTCCCGACTGAGATGGCATGCCGTCGGTGGCAGCGGACGCGATAAACGCCAAGTGACGTCAGAGAGCAGGACGGACCGCACGAAGTGTTGTAGCACGTTTAGGGTTCGCCGCAAAATTCTGCCTTTGACCCGAAATTTTACGATCGGATGGAGGGGTCGGGTAACCCGCAATATGTGCTGCTTGAAGTTGCACTCATCCCGGAGATCCCTTCACTCCATGGGTTGGGACAAAATGTTGAAAACGTCCGTAAATCCTGAAATGGGAACGTTGTGATGCATGCTGCATGTGTTCCGCATTGGGCACTGGCATTTATAAGTACCTGTTAATTAATTACCTGTTCCACCGTTCAGTCTTGTCCGAGATAGATGTGGGCCGCGTCACGGCATTTGTCGAGGGCGACCTGTGCTCCTTGTCTCTTCACTCGTGGGTCACATTTCGGCCAGCCACATGCCTTCTCGCTTTCGATGCGTTTCTTCCCGGCGCGAGTCGGCCGTTCAGCGACGACTGGGTCCGCTAGTGACGCTGTCAGGTCGGCCCTTCGCCATAACTGTAACTCGTGACAACCATCCCTGCAATTTTCCACGGCCGCTGCGGCGGAACACAAGGTGACGCTCCACACACCACCGACTGATGAGGCCTGTAAACAGCCCGAGCCGCTAGCCGAACGAGGGAACGAAAGCAGACGGGTGTACAGTTAGCCGTGCCGCGTGTCGCATGGGTGCTCATGAGGCCGCCGCGTCGGCGCCGCTCGACGTCTGGCAGCCACCGGGTGTGTTCCCATCCTGCTGTCAGACCAGCACGGCTACGGTCTTCTTTCGTATGGGACCTGCCATCCCTTTACCGATTACCCCGGTCACTGACGCCGTTGCTTATCGCGCCTGGTCCGGACCGCATCGGTCGTGAGAGGACCGCAAGTAAAAGATGGGACCGTGGCGCTGCGTTCAAGCTCACGGGCACTGAGCTCACGTACTTCGCTTCGCGGCCGAGCTAACTCAGAGCCCGCGACACGTCTGTGACACACATCTGCTCGACACCAGTCAGCGACGGGCAGAGTAAGTGACGACGGGCAGTGTGGGTGACGACGGGCAGTGTGGGTGACGACGGGCAGTGTGGGTGACGAAGGGCAGTGTGGGTGACAACGGGCAGTGTGGGTGACGACGGGCAGTGTGGGTGACGACGGGCAGAGTGGGTGACGACGGGCAGAGTGGGTGACGACGGGCAGTGTGGGTGACGACGGGCAGAGTGGGTGACGACGGGCAGAGTGGGTGACGACGGGCAGAGTGGGTGACGACGGGCAGTGTGGGTGACAACGGGCAGCGTGGGGTGACGACGGGCAGTGTGGGTGACGACGGGCAGTGTAGGTGACGACGCTTTCCACGCCAGAAAGGTAGGCTATTCTGTAGTCAAAACTGCTAACTTCATGTCAGTGGTGCTTGGCTTCTCCCGGGGCTGCCACCAGGGCTACCTACTGGGTGTAACACCACCTCGCTGCCGCTTCAACCACGTGACCTCTACCTCCCCTTGTCTGCCCCGGCAGGGCACTCTTGCCTCCGCACCACCAGCAACTCCCGTCTATGGCTGGGGACGACGGACCGAAAATGGCTGGGGACGACAGCGACAGCTGCGTGCCGCGGGACTCTATCTTCTTTCTGAAAACGCACAAATGCGCCAGCTCCACTGTGCAGAACATCCTGATGCGCTACGGCGAAAAGCACTCGCTCAACTTCGTCCTGGGAAGCACGGGCAACTACGTCGGATCACCGGTGAGGCTCGCACTGCATCGTGTCGGCATGCATCGCACTGCATCATGTCGGCAGGCGTCGCACAGCATGGCGTCGGCATGCATCGCACGGTACTGGTCTGCTTTGCCGCGGCGCGGGACAATGCGCGGATGACGGACTTGCGGGCGTATCTTCAAGCTGCCGCATGCATGCTCATGGACTATTTCACTTTTTCAGCTACGGTATATTTTTGATAATGTGCGCAGCCATGTGTAGCCGTGAAATGGGATGTAATATGCTTCGCACGCGTGCGAAATGATACGGACAGTCAAGATTCACAAGGCTTGTTTGCCACAAATGCCAGTCAGCAGCAAGAGTGCTGGCCAGCACACTTTGTTTCCGAAACATGAATACATTCAACACAAAAACACGCTCTTGTAAGGCTTCACCACCCGCAGCACTGAAACTAATTGAAGACACGCCCCGCCGGACAAACAAGTGAAAGCCGCGCCTAAACCAGCATGCTCTCTTCACACTGTAGGCTGCCCGATCGGGAACAAGCAAACACAGCACTGTGATGCGTGTGCTTGTAAGCTTTAGTTCAGTTTGTTTCAGCAACATCCCAGTGTTTTGTTTATGTTTTGGGAAAAATGGCCCCAATACGGACCATTACGGCCACAATACGGCCACAAGACACCATTGCATATACTTTTACAAGAGAGGGAAAAATAGCACCACAAATTTGAGGCGTTGTTTACCAGAGTGTCGCGACAGTCACGTGTCAAGCATCATTCTTAGGTTGCACGCTGCGCCGCCCTGCGTAACAGCCGCCACCCTCCGCCGACTGCCGAGCAAAAACAAACCGGTTTTCTGCCGTGACGTGCAGCGGTCCGGCCGGCCGGCGGGCTGTAATGAATGCAAGCTATCCAGCCCAGGTGAAGCCTGGGAGTGTGCACGGTGCGGGCGCGAGCCGGGCGGCTGCAGTGCACCGCCAGCTCTGCAGGTAGCCGGACGACGGACCAGTCTGCCAGACGTGGGTGCAAACAGCGTCTGGTGTAGCAGACGTGGGGTAGTCAGCGCCTGGTGCAGCAGACGTGGGAACAGTCCGAGCTTGGTGCAGCAGACGTGGGCGCAGTGAATGCTTGGTGCAGCAGACGTGGGCGCAGTCAGCGCCTGGTGCAGCAGACGTGGGTACGGTCAGCACCTGGCGCGACAGACGTGGGTGCGGTCAGCGCTGGTGCGGCAGGCGTGGGTGTAATCAAGTTGGTGCGACAGACGTGGGTGTGGCCAGCGCCTGATGTGGAAGGCGCGGGTGCAGTCAGGCTGAGACTAGCGCCGGGCAGTGCTGAGAGGCGAGGAGGCTGGTGGAACTCTACGACGTCCTTGGGACCTGCGTGTAAACTGTTCTGATAGCCGCCCGGCGGTGCTGCCGGTCGGTGGTGCTCAACGGAGTCAGCGCCGAGCAGGCGTCATGGAGACCGACAAATTGCTATCACGGAGGACTGGTTCAGGTTCAGAATCAGAAAGACATGTCGGCTATGAATCCATTTCAGAGCCAGCTAACACCAGTGGACCTCCTGCCAGTGAAGGTGGCATGCAGCGTGCGGCAAACAACTCAGGCATGACGTCGGCTCAGAAGAAGCTGTTGGCCAGCCTGCTGATCGTGAGGATGTTGAACGGCTCGCTGATTGCTGTCATGATCCCATTCTTCCCCGTAGAGGCCGCTTCGAGAGGCGTGTCGCAGACGGTCATCAGTTCCCTCTTCAGTGTTTTCGCTGTGGCAAAGATGATCATGAGCCCGTTCATTGGTCGGTTGGCGCCCGTTGTCGGCATCACTCGACTCTATAACTTCGGCATAGCAGCTGCGGGTGTCTCTACCGTCATCTTCGGCACGCTCAACTACATCGCGGACACATCTACCTTCGTGGCGGCCTGCTTCTTGGTGCGACTGGTAGAGGCGGCTGGTTCAGCAGCCATTGCCGTATGCGGTTACACTATCGCTGGCAGCCAGTTCCCCGGTAAAGTGAACAGGGTCGTGGCGCTGCTGGGCTCTGCTTTAACGATCGGGCTGGCGTTGACGCCGGCGATCTGGGGCGGCTTGTTCGCGCTCGGTGGCTTCGGCACCCCCTTCTATACGCTCGGCGCCATCATGCTGCTGATGGCTGCCGTCAACCAGCGCCTGATGCCGACGATGGAGAAGATCACCAGTGGACCGCAGACGAGCTTCTTCAAGAATTTCCGGGTGTTTATTGGATCCACCGGAAACTGGATCTGCATGGCAACCGTACTGATATTTTCTGCAGACGTGAGCACCGTTAGTTCGGCCATCGCTCCATACGCCAATGATGTGCTCGGCGTCTCGCCGTCAACGCTTGGTTTGTACTACTTAGTTAGCACTACGATGTACGCCATCATTAATTTCCTCTGGGGATGGCTGGCTGAGGGAATGCGGAACCGTTACAAGATGATGTCACCATGCCTCCTTGTTGCGAGCTTTGGAATTTTGTTGGTGGCCCCTTCTCCGTTATTGGGTTTAGAGCCGGCTTGGTGGATAACAGGTCTAGGTATGACCATTGAAGACATGTTTATTGGTGGTGCATTAACCCCATGTTTTAAGCTCATGCTTGACTGTAGCGTCCAGAACGGGCTCGAGTTCGGATTTGGTACACAGTCCTTTGTTGCCGGAGTGTACCAAATGATGTTTTCGATGGGCATAGCGATTGGACCGATTTCCGGAGGCATTATCGTGGATGCCTACGGTTTTCCTTGGATGACAACCGTGCTAGCTTTTGCGACGGCATCTGTTGGGCTGTTGATAGGTATCAAAGCGATTTCCACAATGCTGGATCATAAATGTGACAGGACAACAAACAGTTAATGCTCAACCCCAACGAGGACTGCGCCTTTGCCGCATCATGTGTTCATGGCCATGCTTCGTGGTGTTATGTGAGGCTTGTATTCTTAAAGTTACGTTTGCGTTTTTTGGGTCTGCTTGCACTCTTGAATTTATGAGCCAGACCAAGTCAGATATGCTAAATTTTGCGAGTCGAAACGCGGTCAGCATTGAAAATTTGTGTACTGCAAGCTACCTAAGCACAAGCATTCAAGAACCAGCGCAAACTCCGGACTGCCAAGGTTATGAAGCACCCGCTTGGCGTGAGTGCACCTAGCTCCGGCGGTGAACCTCACCGCACAGACCAGCTTCCCGATTGGTCCAATGAGATATGCTTGTGTAGTCCGAGGTCCGCCAATGGTTCGTGCGCACCAGGGTCTCCAGGATCCTGCTACGGGCACTGAAAACGCAGCGCGAGTGCGGATCGGACAAAGTGCGGCTATCTCGCCAAATCCGCAGACGGGCGAGAAGACGACGGCCAGACGGACGTGGGTCGTCGGGCGGAGCGGTGATGTTACCAGGATTGGCGGTAGGTCATCAGGAAGCGTCAGTGCGGGCGCCGTGTGTGCGACGTTGAGCGCTCGTCTGCACTGATTATATCCTGCAATGGTTTGCAACGGGATAGCAAAGTCTGCCTGAAATTGAGAGCTAGGCAAGATGGAGACGGATTCATTATTAGGGCCGAAGACCGGATCGGCCTCTGGATCTGACAGCTATACCGAGTACGAGTCTACCCAACATGCAGAAGACACAGATGCGCCATCTGACGGCAACCACGGAGTCAGTATTAATCAACATGTGGCAAGGGACGATCGTATGACAACTGCTCAGAAGAAACTACTGGCCTGCCTGGTGATGGTGAGGATCCTGAACGGCTCGCTGGTAGCCATCATGATCCCATTCTTCCCTGTTGAAGCCGCGTCAAGAGGTGTGTCTCAAACGGTCATAAGCTCCCTATTCACCGCCTTCGCGCTGGCGAAAATGATCATGAGTCCTTTCATTGGTCGGCTGGCGCCATTATTGGGAATCAAATGGCTCTACAACTTTGGCGTCGCAGCTTCCGGTCTTGCCACCATCGTCTTCGGGACGCTCAATTACATCGCGGACACATCTGCCTTCGTGGCGGCCTGCTTCTTGGTGAGGCTGATGGAGGCGGCTGGTTCAGCGGCCACCGCCGTCTGCAGCTTCACCATAATCGGCAGCCAGTTCCCCAGCAGGGTGAACAGGGTCGTGGCTCTGCTGGGCTCTGCTCTAACGATCGGGATGGCCTTGACGCCGGCGATCTGGGGCGGCTTGTTCGCCCTCGGTGGCTTCGGCATCCCCTTCTACACGCTTGGCGTCATCATGCTGCTGATGGCGGCCGTCAACCAGCGCCTGATGCCGACCATCGAGAAGACCACCAGTGAATCTCAGACACATTTGCTGAGCTCTCTGCGACTGCTGGCCGGGATCGACGGGCAACTGGGTGTGCATGGCCACCGCGTTCATAATTGCTGCAGATGTAAGTACAGTGGATTCTGCCCTCGCTCCCTATGCAAATGATGTGCTCGGTGTTGCGTCGTCACAGGTTGGTCTCTTCTACATCGTCAGCACTACGCTATATGCCGGTATGAACTTTTTCTGGGGATCGCTGGCTGAGCGTGTGCAAAATCGTTACAAGGTGATGTCACCATGTCTCCTTGTCGCCAGCCTCGCAATCTTGTTAGTGGCTCCTTCTTCGTCATTTGGTTTGAACCCTTCCTGGTGGGTTACAGGTCTAGGCATGACGCTCGAGCTCATGTTTATTGGAGGCGCAATAACCCCATGTTTTAAGATCATGCTGGACTCCGGTATTGAACGAGGTCTAGAGGACAGCTTGTCTACACTGTCGTTGATAGCCAGTGTGTATCAAATGACTTTTCATTGGGAATAGCAGTCGGTCCTCTTTCGGGGGGCATCATTGTGGATATGTACGGATTTCCTTGCATGATTATCGTGTTGGCTTTGGCAACAGCGGCTGTTGGGGTGTTGGTTGGTGTCAAAGCGGTTTTCGTAAGTTTAAGGCACATGTCAGCATACAGATGCAGAGCGTGGATCAGCTGAGAGACAGGAAGAATCGGAATAAAGTCCTTGCTGCGTGTTGCGGTTTGTGGTCCGGTCGTTAGGTCGGTCCTTGTCCAGATAGTCTTGTGTTTGAAACATGTTGACGAACTTGTTGGCGTGTCCCGACTCTCGGTGATAATTTGCCTCACCTACTGGGAAGTGGTTGCTGTGAAAGTGACGGATGATGGGTGACGGGTGACGGTGTAAGGGGGTGGCGCGGTTAGGGGTTAACTCGACACGGATGATATTATCGGATGTTCGGAACAGCGGCGACTTCGCGTTTATCCTGTGGCGTCAATAACTCTACATGGTGATGCACCATAACGACTAATGGATAATAAACAGCGCCAGCAAACCATGGCTATGGTAAATCACCTGCACGCCATGTCTCGACTCAGCATCACCCCAACACACTGCCGTTTGTGCTGCCCATCAAGAGGACAGGCGGCTCAATGCCAGGTTGTCCTGTTTGTCAGCTCAAGTCATGTTGTGTCACGCAGTCTGTAAATCATTTAGATTTACATAAAAACTTCTTCATTTTCCGCGGAACTCGCGCAGTCCTTTAAGCACACTGGAGTGAAGTTATCATGGACAAGGTTCAAGCCGCGGAACTACTACGTCAGCTACGTAAGTGTCCCGTTGCGAGCGAAGCTTTGCGACCCGGCCCCGCCAGCACACGCTTTACAAGACCTTATCTTTGCAATCGCCGAGCGCGGCTCTCACCTGTAGTCAAGGTTTCTTTGAGAACGTTGCTTTACCACTATCCCCTAGTATACTGAAGGTGGGTTATTGTCAGAATATGATCTCACAACTCACAACGATCTGTATCAGGCAGAAGCCTGTGATTGTGACTGTGATTTCCTGCTGCCTCTTGGCACATGGAGACTCACACCACCATCTCCTACACCTGGTACCAGTTGCATCTACACATTCACAGAGGGCGGCACAAGATGTGTAGATCCACGCGAATGCCTACTTCTGCCAAAATGAGCCGATCGATAACGCCAGCGAAATATTCGTGCTGGAGGCCGGCGCAATTGTGGTCAGCAGCATAGCTGCATGGGCCGACCGGCTCCACCAGCAAGGAGGTGTGACGTGTCGTCCGCCTCGCCGGACAGCCATACCAGCGGACTGCGGAATCAGCTAACGGGCCCGGGCTTTTCCAGACGTCTTCTGTCGCTTGGGACGGTAGTTTTCAGGATAGTTTTACCAGAACTATTGTGCTGCTGCACCGGCCGGCCAAAATTTATTAACTTGTAAAGTTAAGATTAAGCCCGCTCATCCACTTTTCAAGATCATCATTTTGTACCTAAATGCGATGTTCCAACATTTCAATTTGGTTTCAGTGTTTGTGATACCATTTTTTTCGTAAACATATTAAACTACGTGCCAACACATAGTGAAGAGCAAAGATGAAGCACAATATAGCGCAACAAAAAGAATTACGACGGGCGTTACCATTCCCAGGAAAGAAGGTGCTTGTACCAAAAGTTTAAAAAAGCCACAATCGGGCTATTCAACGCTTCCAAAAATGCTGAGAGACATGCATGACTGGGCTGACAATAGCGACTGATGACGGGCATTGGGTGCCTTGCTGGCACAGGAATTTCTATTGATTAATTAAACCATTTAACGCACTAAATAGTTATAAGACCATGAACAGGGCTTCGCTGTTAGCTAGGGATGCAGCTGATGTACAACACTTCCGGGTGCGCATTCGGGATGCGCATTTCGTTGTGTGATAAACCAGAAACGCCAAAAGGCCAAACACGAATGCATTATCACGCGAAAGTTGTCACGATGGAAACAAGCGCAATCAGCAACTGCGCTCGGGATGGTGAACGGTGGACCAATCACAGGCCACCAAAAAAGCAGTGCCGCCACAAAAGACTGATATCACATATTTTTGAATGATCTTTTTAGCATAAACGACAACGAACACAACTTCAGGGATCGAATACTAAGAACACAAACACTTTTGCATCACTCTTGACTCAAAGATTGGCTCACGCCCTCCTGTTGTTTTGTCTTCGCGGCCACGACCCTGATGCGGGAGGGGGGAGGGGGAGGGGTGGGAGGGGGGGGGGGGGAGGTCGGGGTTAGTCGAAGTCCATCAGCGCTGGCTGTTCCGGACCATTGCGTTCTCCGGCCGGCGCTGTGCCCTGGCAAACCGCTGGACAGAAAAAATTAATATCTGTCAGCGGTAAGTGTGAGCTGTTATTCCTATGTCTCGTCGTTGTGCTCTTTCACTATTGCGCTTCAAAATATTGGCGTAAGAGGATTACTTAAAACAATGCATTCACCATCTTTGGTCCGAGACTCAGAATTATAAAATCATGAAAGGTGTCCTAGACACGGCTATGAAGGATGACTTGACCAAACTTCAAGAAGTTATCTGTAACAATGACCGAGTTATGGCCTGGAATGCATTGCAGCGCATGTTGCCCGTGCCCAGGTAGGCCCGGCCCCGTGGCGCCGGGTGGCGGGGCTCTGGTCTGCCGGAGCGCCGTGGTGTCGGGGCGGCGGAAGCCGTTTATCAGTTTCACACGCCGACCGACGACCACGTGACTAGCGGCGGGGTTAAAGGATATCAGGTTGTGCTGTTGGCAGGACTGAACCGACGAAAACAGCGCGAAAATCGATCCAACCACCTATCCACACTCGAGGGTATCCATCTGACCTTGACCTTACGCGGCTTACGAACTACTAGCCGCTCTTGCTCACGCGTCTGATGCCGATAATTGCGGCTAAGCTCTTTTCACTTCGCGTTAGCGTTTGGATGGCTCAGATGTGACAGATATGAATGGACAGAATGAGAGATATAGACCAAGATTTCAGTCCTCATTTGCATGGCGCGTGACCATTGCTCTAGGTCTGGCATAGCGCGCGTATCATTGGATACTTTTCTACATAGTACGTTTGATCAAGGTGCAATGATTGAATACCATGATATACGTTTGCAAATGGATACGCTTTGGGAGCGGCCAGATGCCCAAGTGAGTGTGTCAAGAATTTGTCCTTGATCCGTGACCTTGATGCGCTCTTAAATTTAATTTTGTTGGGTGGTGTATGACCGCACGCCACGGCGCTATCCAGTGCACTTCGAATTTTTGAATCCGACCGTTGTTGCGATAAGCTAGGTAAGAGTCGACTCTGCCCCCTCCAGTCAATAGTGTGCCGCTTGGGAGTACGGTCAATGCCGGGTTAATGTACGAACGTGGCGCCCCGCCGACCGGAGCGGCGCCGGGATGTGACCAGGTCTCCAGCCCTCAGCCACGGCGCACCGGAGTCTCCGCCGCGGATGTCGCTTCCAATCACGGCCGTCAGGTGGCACTGGCGACGGCGTCAAGG